GAAGCACAAGCTCCAGGAGCTGGTGATGACATCCAAGTGCAAAGTTATTTGATGTACATGGAACTGAAAGATAGGTGTTTGAAAATGTGTACACACATCTGTGCACAAGCTTAGCTGTACCACAAGAGCAGAAAGCAGGAACCTGCCTTCATGAACTGCACCCATCCCTTCCTGTGCCAGAGGTGTCTTCTCCCCTGGCTGGATACAGCCATGCCAACCAGGGTGGTGAACCAACCCTGTCAGACTCAGCTACATGACAACAGGAGGAGAAGTCAACCCAAACCCAAACATACACTTGGATAGGAGAAAGAAAGCCCCATCCTTTTGGACAGCCCTCACCCCACTGGCAGCCTGGTTGATGAGGGCTGTGCTCATTAAAAAAATGGGGGAAGGCACATGTGCAATTACATCCCACTGTCTCAGTTCAGCTGAGGAAAACAGGGCCAACACCACGCTGCTAACACAGGGTAACAGACAACCACTGCCACGAACAGCACCGTGCAATGTTCAGAGCGCTGCAGCCCCATCTCACCTCCCTGAGCAGCTCACAAGCCCAGGACCCTGGTCTGTCATTAGGAGGGACTTGTCTGCCAGCACCCCTAAATCCAGCAGCGTCCTTTCCCTCCTACAGGCATGTGGGGAAGGAGCCCAGCAGTGCAGAAGGCTAAGTGAGAATGTCAGCTCAGACTGGAGGCTGATATTAGAAATAGAGACAGAAATCTTTTTGGCTGCAAAGAAAACACTTCGCTATTTTGCAATAAATAGCCCTACTGCTTTACAGCTTGAAAATGCTGTAACAGAAAAAGCCCTTCCAAAGATCACTTCCCTCTCCTTTACACTCCTGCCCCCATCATTTGCACAAAGACCAGCCCCTTCCCAGGCAAAGCTAAGCCAAAGTGAATTGCATATATCATTAATTACCTTTCAGGGTAGGACCTGTGGCACTAAGCAGCGTCTGTGCCTCCCAGCACACACAGCGCATTGCTTGCTTCTAACAGCAACATTTCCCCAGGTCCTGGTCCCCAGTGAGGTACCTGCAAGCACAAAGAGTGGATGAAACCGGCTGACATGGCTGCTCCATCCTGCAGCCTGAGATTGTCGCACATCAGCTTCCGGAGATTTGACTCCCTTGCTGGCAGCTGCATTTGCCTGCCAGACAAGAAGATGGACTGAGGGACGGTCACATTTCTGTCCCCACATAATCAAACCATATCTTAACCTTCTCTTGGATAAGATAAATAGGGCATATTCCTTGAATCCCACTAGACAGCAAGATTCTAGGTTGTTAACTTATTTTTCCATTGCCTTTTTTTCCCCCTCAAACTGCATCTCCAAGCATCATTACCAAACCTAACACTGTGATTCCAATGAATGTCCTTAGCAATACTAAAGGTTGTTTAAATTTATTCCCATTTACTGCTTCTCAAGCCTTTTTTTAGCCCTTTTGCAGGCACAGCTTTGTAAGGGACATTTCTCTGCAGCTGCCATCAGCACAGCATCATCACACACATGCTGTATCACTGATTCCTTGATAGTCTCTCACCTGGTAAATGTGTCCCACATTTTTTACCCCCAGATGCATAAGATTGAGACTACCCCAGCTTATGGTAGGGAATGAGAGAGAGAGAAAGCAAGAGTGCAAACAAGAATGCTTTGAAGCAGGGCTAGGGCTGCTTCTTTGTTTGCTGCAAGCTTTGTCTTTGTGGTACATGCAATAAATAAACACGTACAACTTTAAAACACCACAGAGTGCTTCTGTTGTCTTTCCACACCACGGTGAAGATCCTAAATGCAAGAACAGCTTGATGTGGGGCCCTGTAACAAACCCAGGTGCTGGTGGAGGTCCACAGACAGATGGATTATAAAGGCAGCTCTGCATCAGCTTTTCATCAGAGGAGCAGCACTGCTCAGTGTTCTCTGCACACAAGTGATCCCTTGTGTCAAATAAGCTTTGTATCAGGCTTCAACCCACACCACAGTTTAGGAGGTGTCCCCCCAGCCGTGGTCAGGACAGCCAGTGTAAACCACTAACCACAGTCTGAGAATGCAATGAGCTATGCACAGCTCTTAGTTTGGTCAACACTGCAGTCAGTCAAGGTTTTGAAAACATGTTAATAAGAGACTTGGTGTATTCATTTTCTGGAGAGTTTCAACCATCAGAAGGTACTGAAGTTTGTAAGCCACCTTGAACTGCCTCTGTCTAGCCCCACATAATGATGGCTCGTAGGCATTTGCCATAGGCCAAGTCCTACACATGCACAGCACACGTGCCAACTGTGCTTTGATTACTACATGCTGCGTAACCTGTATTTCCTTTTCCAGCGCCCTTCAGATAAACAATGGTCTCCGCTGCATATTGGAGATGTCAATAGTGTAGGCATATGGACTCTGTGGATGCTGGAGGAGGACAGGGTAAAGGCTGGCGGGAGTGAGATGTTCAGCATTTGGAGCTAACAGTGCAACATGACTGCTGAATTTCTGACCCGCGTTTGCTGGCCGCACAGCTCATCAGCACTAGACAGCTAATGCTATCTGGGACAACACGTCCTGTATCTTCTCCCTCTCCCTCCCACTAAGGGCTGTTTACCCAGGTATGATGTTGTCATCCTCCTCCTCGTCCTATGCTAAAGGCTTGTTTAGCAGAGATAATCACACATTTTTCATCTTTAAAGCTGTGCTAAGCTCTGCATTGTACCAAACAATTTCTGACTTTCTGAACGCCCATCTTAAAACACATACGTAGTTCTTACTACGACAGTAACTCCAAAGACCTCAAAATACTTTCTTTGTGAGAATGAAAAAAATACAGCTTTGTACATGGGGAACTGAGTCAGAATTGAACTCAAACTCAGTTCTCCTAATGTCCATATCCAAGCCACAGGATTGCCTTTGACAAGACCTTATTGCAGCCTTTCAGTACTTTAAAGGGAGCCTATAGGAAAGATGGGGACAACCTTTGCAGCAAGGCCTGCTGTGACAAGACAAGGGTTAATGATTTTAAAGTAAAGGAGGGTAGATTCAGACTGGATATAAGGAAGAAATTCTTTACAATGAGCGTGGTGAAACACTGGAACGGGTTGCCCAGAGAGGTAGTGGAGGCCCCATCCCTGGAAACATTCAAGACCAGGTTGGACGGGGCTGTGAGCAACCTGATCTGGTTAGCGGTGTCCCTGCTGACTGCAGGGGGTTGGACTAGATACCTCTAACGGTCCCTTCCAACCCAAAGCATTCTGTGATTCTAAAATGAAGATTATTTTAGTTGGAGGGTATTTCTCCCTGCCCAGGTTTTGCTCCCAATTTGTCACTCTGATTTCTGTTCGGATTTCCTATCCCATTTTATTACTTTTGCAGATTTCTCAACCTGTTTGATGGGAGGAAGGCGGAGGTTTTCTTTATCCTGCAGGCTAAACTAAATTGAACTAACTAAAGGCTTTTATAACGTCTTTGAACATTTCTGTTGTTTTGGTTTTGGTTTTTTTTTTTTTTCCCTGGGAAAACTAAGGAAAACTATTTACAGCTGGTAGAGAAATGGGGCTGGTTATCCCAGTAAACAGTATGTTTTCAAAATTTTCATACTTTTGTTTTCAATGCAGCAGAGAGATCAAGCAAATGAAGCTGCAGCAATTCAGATTGTCTCATTAGGAAACAGTCATTCATTCAAAAATACATTCAACTCCCATAGCAGCAGCTGGCTGCAGTGCAACTGGGGTTCCATTTTGGTTTTGCTCTGAAACTTGCCTATTCTGATGCATTATTACCATGCACAGAGGGTGTCTGACAAAGTGCTGGCAGAGGATGGAGGAAGCTGTGGGCTTATCCTACCAGCTCCAGGCTGACCACGTGCACAGCTGTGCTACCTGAGCTTCCTACTGAGAAGATTTTGGTAGTGCCAACAAGAATCTGGGACTCCTGCTTCCCTTCACAATAGCCATGGTATATGCAAATGTGTTTTGCCATTAGGGCCACTGGGAATGTGTGAGGATGAGCCTGCCAAGAGCGACAGGCCCCACTGTGCTCAGTGCAGCAGCCCTCATCTTCCCAGCACAGCATTTACCAGTCTCTTCCGCCACCAAGGTGAAACTAAAAAGGAGTCCTAAGGATTGGTACTCCCTGCAAACCTACCCCAAACGCAAAGAAGGATCTAAAGCGACTTAAGGAAAAAATGGACATGGATTTTTTTTAAAATTCATTTAGAAGCTATTTTTAGTTAAGCAAACAACCTACCCCCCCAGGCAATAAAACCCTCACTCTGATCAAGAGGAGGTGCATGCAAGGGGAGGAACCACTTTCCAAGCTGTACCTGAATTAAGACCACATTTTTGTTTCAAGGCAACGGCTGGTCATTTATGAATTTCATTTAAAAAAATGATTTCTTTTTAGCATCCATTTAGAGCCAAAGTTGTCTGGTCAGATTTTAACTATGGTATACTCTTGTTTCTTTTTTCTTTGTGGTATCCCAGCGTGTTGTAATCTTCTACTTTCTTTAAAGCTGAACTTTAATTTTCTCAGGATAGGCTGCTTTTGCCACTGAAGCCAAAGGTAAAATTTCCTGAAAAATGAGCTTGAACGCCTTTCTATGTAACTGTGTAGCACATTTGTGGATTAGACTTCTTTATGAAATATGACATTTGATTGACTTTTCTGATTTGCCCCCACATTTATTTTGTATAATCTATGCGAAACAGTGTGACAAAATACAGTAATCAAATTATTCTGGAAATTCTCTTACGATGTCACAACTATGGGATGTATGTAAAAAAAAATTAACTTGCAAAAGAAAATCAAATACAGTAACTAGGCAGAATCAACCAATGCTTTTATTTCCATTGCATATAAAATTTCATATGAAGGTATTGATGTACAGTACTATCCCATAGGCTGTAAGAGAGGCTAAGAAACCAGTGAAAGAATAGCCATGTGCAATGTTCACACAAGTTGCCACTCTCAAGACATCCCCAAAGGAAAAATCAAAACAATAACAAAAAATTGTTCAGGATTTCTGTTGTTATAGTGTCCCTTTTATACTGTTTAAAACAAAAGCAATCTATTTGCTTTGGGCCAGGGCTGCTAAAATCTACAGTTTGTGTCAAAAAGGAGGCTCTGTTTTTCCTTGAAAAAAAAAAAAAATCTCCTTTCATGAAGAAGTCCCATGCTACAAGGGCTGGGCATCGCTGGAATGGAGGAAAGGTATTTACCTCACTCTGGCAAATTCACTGATAACAGCTCTAACTAGTCTGGAGCAACATGACAAGTCAAACAGCAAGAGAAGCTCAGTCCAATGTGCAAGCCTAATACTAGTGTAATGAAAAGATCTAAAGGTTTACCATTCTCCTGTAGATCTAGTACATTATGACGAACACACCTGTACAAAGCCTTAGATACATCCATATAAAATAGAACTTTGGCCACTTATAACACTAATATTGGTGTTGGAAAGCATTTCCAAGATTAAAGTTGTCTTATGTCCTACTTCATGGCTTACACAGTGATAATTTGTGCCACTAAATAAAGAAGGGATATTACAGATGACTGTAAAAATGTATGAGTTACACCCTTTTAATTCCAATTATTCCATTTCGCAATATGAATTAAAATCAAATGCTTATTAGAGGTGCTTTCCAAAGCTGTTTTGGTGCAATTCAGTCCTGAAACACAGCATCGATTTTTTTTTTCTTTTTTTTAGGAGCAAAAAATGGCTGCAATAATTCCTGACGATAGCCTGTAAAAAGATAATCAGAGAGGCAATGCCATTATATTGCCAGAAGTCTGGAAAAGCTTGAAATTCCAGTAGGCTCATAAATGAAAGCTCATTGTAGTATCAGGCATATTAACTTGTACGAGTAACCCCATCAGTTAGCAACTAAAAATATGGTAGAAATGCCCAGCCCTAGCCCCCACTGCTACCTTACTTTCAAATGCAGCAAAACAGAAGAAAATATTGTTTAAAGTTAAGGCACAGCCCTGGGACCAAAGACCTGCAGCTTTTTTTATTGATATATCTTTATGTATTTTATACTCTTCTTGAATCTTCCATAAACAAGCTCTAAGGTGACATAGAATATATTACAGGAGAAAAAAATGTACAAGGAATATGTATACACAATAATCATTCTCTCACCAAGAGTTTCCAAATATAGCAACACCACCCTGACGAGGATGATGTTATAATAAGAACTGATAATTTACAATTAACATTACAGTATGTACATTACAATAAATACATGGTTGTAAACAGAGACAAACAAGACTGTATTACAGGTAAGGTCATTTGGTGAGAAAAATGCATGGCACAAATAAATAATGCATTTGAAAAGAACTGTCAAAGCTTTCTGTAAAATCCATTTCATTCAAGTTTTTTAAACTTCTGAATGCTATTTGTTCTATCTATATTCTTTCATTATCATTTTAATAACGACACAAAACAATTTAATAATTCAAATACAGCATTATTGAGCACAGTAACCTGCAAGCTAAAGTGTACTGTTATAAGCAAGGTGAATTTTATTTTTTCCCCAACTCCACACCTGCTCACTGCATCTTCTTATGGCAAAAATATACATAACACATAAAGCCACTTGTATTGTTTTACAGCAGTGTGCAATGCTAAAACACACTTTGGCAAAAGAGGAAAAAAAAAGATTGTACAGTGCATTATATCCCCATCTGTAAGAAATGATACAATTTTCTATTATTCGATTGTCCACATGTATGGATGTGTATATCACAATGTGGTGTTACTCTTCATTCACTTTCAGTTAGTGCAGATACAAAACCTTTTCAGGTCCCTATTGGTTATTTTGGAATTTATATTGCTTTTCCGTTATTAAGGTTCCAGGCACTCTAGGGGACTGAAAGGATTTTTAGATGTATCAGGTTCAGGAGAAACGATGAAGAACAAAAAAAAGAGTCAAAACCTGAAAAAACCCCCAGGAGTTCTCTTCATTCTCTTTCCTCCTTCAACATCTTCCGTGCTAAGGCCCTGTGAGGGCTAAAAGGTAGACAAAGCTATGTCCTGGATATAGAAGAACGCAAAATGCATTTAAAAGCTCAATTATTAGTCAATCATTTTTCAACAGGTTTTTATCCTAGATACCAGACACTTAAAAATCCCTGTATTCATATCTGCAAATTTACTACAAAATGAATCCAAAGGGCAAATAACAGCTGTTCTCTGTTTTTTGTTAGGAATCATCTTGTTACTGTCATTTTACCAGAATTTTACACAGAGGGAGTTTGCTACCTTCCCTAGGCAACTATTTTCCCTCTTCTACACTCAAAATTACAGCTTTAACAAAGAGTAAAGTGGAAGAAGTAGAATTCCTTCTTCTTTCATGTGACCAAACAACAGGACTAGAAAATGTCAAATATGAACTCCTCCCTCCCTTTAACTTTCCAAGTTACAGAAGCTTTCAGTTTTCAGTACCAATCAAACTGAAAAGCAGTATCCCCTCAGCACAAACTGGATAATGGATGAAAAGATCTGAGACTGAAATAACATGAAGTAAACTACAACTCTCATGATGCATTGCTCATTTACTTAAAAACATAAAGACTGACCTGGCTCTTCTTGCAACAAAGACATGAAAAAATAATGCTAATCATTATTTTTATGTTGTACACGTCTCACATTAGCAAATTGTTTAACTAGATAGCTGACACAGATAAAAAGTTATTAAAAAACCGGAAATAGTACAGTAATGCTTTTTTTGCCAGAACGAATAGTCCATGCATTATATTGGCCTGTTCTGATTTAGCAGTCTATAGCTCCCAGCCAAAAATGGTCTGGAAACCACATTTCAGAGGGACAAATTTTATTAGTATAGCAGAGGAGCTGCTTTTGTATTAAGATGACAAATCATCACCTTTCTTACGGGCTCTAGTCCTGCAAATCCTAATCTTAGTGGTCCCAGTTGGTTTCACTGGGACCAATTCTTGTTGTAAGACAGAATTGACAGGATCAGGCCACTGTGAGGGCAAAAGCACAACGTAAGTTCCTCTAATACGTTTGGGAAAATTGTGATGAATAACAAACAAAAAAAAAAAGTCATCATACTGAAAGAGTCTTATGTAACATAAAGGATATTCATGGAACTCACTAATATATAAAATAGACTTTTACAGCTCAATATGACCATGAGATTCTAAGGTGCAAAAAAGGAAGGAAAAAACCTAGAAGTATTATCCAGTGTAGCACAGATTTGTACTGAAAACTTGTAAGTTACTCTTTGGAAAAAAAATAACCAGTGGCAGATGAAGTCTGAAAGTGTTTTTCTTTAAATATAATACCTCGGTACATTTAATAATAAAAGTAAGCTCTACAAAAGATCACTCTTTTACATATTATACAAAATGCAGAGGTTAGTGCAACCCTGTGTGTTGCACTTTTTTCAGTCACGTATCAGGAAGACTTGAAATTAGAAAATTATGCAATTTCCACAGCTCATCTTCCTATTGGTAACAGAATCATGTTGTGTCCCATCATTTATGTGCATTTGTTTTCCAGTAGGAACCTCAGTTCATTTTCTGTCTGTTTCCTCTCATGATGAATATTATCCAATGCTTTGCTTGTGAAATACAATGAATTCAAAAACTATCAAAGCATACCAGCATTTGGTTGGCAGGTAGTACTCCTCTGAAAACATTTGCTTTATTTAATCAAATCTGCCAAATGGAGAGCTTATTAAAATGTAGTTTGTGGATGTTCTCCCCCCTGCTTTCTGATGCCATGGAGGTGAAAATTCTGGTTACAATATTCCTGAGTGCCAAACTGAGTCATCAAGGTCAGTTTTGATCAACAAACGTCCTGGCAGATGACAGCAAGTTGTGACTATGGTTGTAGCATACGACATACACTTTGGAAACCATTATCTAATAAAAACAAAACAAAACAAAAACAGAGAGAAAGAGGAAAAGAAATGGAGAGGGCAAGAGAGAGAGCCTGCATCTTCATTGTTACGTGTCAGGAGAATGGTCTTCTACCACACAAGGTTCTGTCTGGTTCTCCTCCTCTTCTACTTCTTCCCCTACTTGCTCATCAAGAGGAATTTCAGTGGATTCTGAATCCTGGGTGCAAAGAGTCTTGGAGTCACTGCAGCTGGTGTCTTCTTCTACTTGACTTCCACTGTCCTTTTCGGTGTCTGACTCACCATCTTCTTCCAGTGTTAGTTCAAACTGGAATTTTTCAGTTTGGCCCTGCCTACCCTCTTCCTGGTCATCAGGTGCAGGAGAAGGACTTTGAGGGATTGTGCTCTGGTACCATTCTCGATTGTCCTCCAGTGTATCTAAGATATCCTGGGCATCCGGGTGAACAAGATCTGCCCACGTCTCCCACAGAGGATGAACAATGTAGTCTATAAAACCCACCTGTTTCAAAGAATACAAAATTATGTTGAGCTCTTATTCACAAAGAAATAAACAACTATGCCTATAAGTCATGCAAAGTACAAGAAATGTAACGCTTGTAAGAGACACTAGATGCACTACCCTTAAAGGTAGCTGAAAGGAAACTGTGCCATTTTATGTAGTAAATAGGGTCTTTTACATTTCCAAATTCTGATTCAGGATATCAGGTAAGCACTTGGAAAGGATTTTTTTTCAAATGAACTGTTCATTCCAAACAACTCCACTGCATCTAGTGAGCCAAACAGCTGTTTTATATTTAATTCTGCTTTTGAAGAAAACCCTAGTGAGCAGCTCTTTTGATGTGTACACTTCACTGCAGACCACAACAGTGATGCAATCCCTTCAGCAAACACATTACCATGCACTATATTTTCACAGTAAAAATCTCAGCTCCCCTCACTTACTATCATGAGCTGAATTAATTAACTAGGAGGAAAAAAATGAAATAGTGCATTCAGAAATTAATAAAAACATGGCAACAGACCATCCTTTTCTGTTAAAATGTCATACTGTGTTATTTAACTGCCTACTCAAATCGGTTACCTGTGATTTTTCTACAGATGCATTGTGCTTATCACACATGGGACTTATCTCCATTCCCCTTTCTCTTTCCCGATCTCCCTGACGGAAAAATTCCTCCATTATTCTGTCTGTCCATTGGCGGTAGAGATGGAGTGGCTTGGTTGGATTGCTTAGATCTGCACAGTGCACCATATTCTGAAGAACCTAAAATAGATTGAACACCCACAGTATTATTACAGTGGAGAAAACCAGCTCCTCTTCCATTTACACCTTCGGTGGCCGTGAAACAGAATCTTGAAAATAGTGCAAGACTTATTCTAAACAGCAAAAACTATGTGCTTGAGTGTTTTTCATACTTGCAGTAATAGCCACAAATTACCTTGCTTCTGCTGCTTCTGCCTGTATAAGGGTCAGAAAATCTTTGAGAAAAAGACCAATCAGGTGCTAATAATTTGAAGGGAAGGTCAGAGCGTCATTTAGTCCAGAAGTACACTACAACCTCATTACTCTCTCAGAGAGTCACTCAGAACCTAACAGAGTATGTCACAGGTAGGAAATAGAAGAGGGAGTAGGGGGAAGGTAGTGAGTCATGGTGTAAGAATGGACAGTTTATCTAACCCGTGATGGAGAACGGGCAGGCCAATGTTATTATGGATGTAATTTAACACAAGTGACCATTTGCAGATAGATTTTCTTACCTGAATCCTGTCTGAATAGTTATCAAGAAGTAGGACACCAGAACTGGTCACTTTTTTGGTTTCAACCATGGTTTTTAAATCAGCCAATAGATTCATATGCTTAGACATATCTGTTGCAAGTACCTTGAAAGAAAGAAATGAATAAGTGAGTATTATATAAATTTTTCTACTGATTTAAAATAAATAAAAATCTTTGAACACAAAAATAAACATGTCTGGGGGAATCCATAACTCCCACGTCTGGATACACTACAAAACTCTGAGTCCTGTATATCACTAGTGTCCAAAATATTAAGTTTTCATTTTGGTTATTTTAAGAATATGACAAAATGATTGTTCAGAATGATCTGATCAGCCTAAATTTATCACCAATTCAGTAGCAATCTTCCAACCGTGATTGTGAAATGGCATACGTGTCAGTATGAAAACAGCCTGAAGCAGGGCTGTATACCTTCTAAAAAGGTACAGGTGGTTATTGAAACTGAAAAGTACCCACTATTCATGTTGGGTAAGACATGATAAAAACTCAAACTTTTACTTCATGGTTATGGGTCTAATGACATGTAATTTATCATAAAATGCTTCCGTGCTTTATTATTTCATTTGCTAGCACTATGGAAGAGGGACTCTCAAGCAGAACTCACAATGTCAATGACCATTTTCCTCAATGATTGCCTCTGTTTTTTGGTCAAATTCTGGAAAATGTCACAATTTTCTTCCTGCAGCAGCTTGAAGCCCACAGCTAAGTGATGATTCTCCAGTACTGATGAGTCATTGTACATCAAGGCAAGTTCAGAATCTGCAATAACAATCGCAGGGCAGAACGTTACTAAAGCCTGTGGTTCTACCAAATCCCTTCAGATTTTTCAGATTCATTACATTCATAACAAGACTTACAGATGAACTTTTAGAAACAGAGTTCCTGTAGTTCACACCGTATCAAAAGTTACAGAACTAATGACTGATCATCTTACAAATCAAGGCAAATTATGTTGAGGAAAATAAATAAAACACTTTGCAGTGAAGCATGCACACCTGCCTGGAGCGGCAAGTTAGAAAAAAAAAATACAAAGGAGGTATTTTTCAGAATACATTTACATACCTGCCTGAATTCACATGGAAAATATTATATGCACAAACTAAAAGACACTAAAAGATGTTTTATCTTCTCATGCCTCCCTCCCATCACAACTACTAAAATTGCATTAAGTCAAATTGCAGCTATCCAGCACTCAGACTGGGAATCCACAGCTGAAGCTTTGCTGCAGGTCAGGCAAAGAGCATACATCTTGGGTTTTAAAGCCATGTCCTTCTGCAGTTAAGCGACGGCACTCGGATGCCTAGCCAATTAGGCCTAAGGGTCATTAGTCCATGACAGCTGGATATTTTGAGAGGAGGCTGGTAGGATGGTAACAGTTATGCTTCTGGTCTTTTTCTTGGAAGGTCATGTAGCTTGAAAATGCAAGCAGTGGCCTTGCCTACTGCCTCATACTTGAGCATGGTCAATGCGTTATGCCATGCTGCTGCCTTTTTCAACAGAAGTAGTCTTAACTTGGTCACTCCATATGGCTGTGAGAATAACATCCACCTTTTTTTAAGTAGTTACGACAATTTTCTGGACAGCATTAGATTCTATGTGGGGATACCACGCGGTCAGCTTGCGCATGTTTTAAGACACAGCTTGCAAATGAATCTGTCATAAAAAACAAATACCTTTTATGCAAACGCACTTGTCATGTGCGGTATTAACTTCTATTTATTACAACTATTCTACCCTAAATCTAACCATACATCAGTCTATTTAACTCTTCGTCCTCTTTATCTTTTTTTACAACAGCTTTGTTTTCAAATCCCTTTGGCTCAGGGGCTGCCTATAAAATCTGCTCTTCAGATTTCATTAGTCTCATTATCCATATATCTGTCTTCCTCTCCTGTCTTGAATGTGTTAATCTTCTGAATCAGGAAACCCTTCCTCAACCTTTCCTTATCCTGACAGCAGCAAAACCATAATAGCAAAAGGAAAAAGAAAGTGTGTCAAATGACCTCTCTTTCATCTTTCACAGAACATTTACAAAGCTTGCCTATTTGTTATTTTTCTTACAAAGAAGACAGGCACTAGTTTATTTTCCTTTCAAACAGCTTTCTGATGAGCCCAACGGCAAAACACTCAACATTGCCAGAACACTTTGGAAAGGCTGGAGCCACAGACAGAGCTAAAGTGTGCTCAGCTTTGTAACAGAGGTGGAAATGAGAGAAAGTTCCCTCTTGGTAATCTTCGTAACACATTATAAGCGTCAAGAGTATTTGTAAGGACAGAGTTACAGTGATCAAATAAGCATCTCCTCTCATGCTAATATAATCTGTATCTGTTTTTCTTTAATAGCATTCAAGGAGGATCAGCTTTTTGAACAACTGTGTAAATACATCTTAAATTCTTAAATAGGGAAACAATATTGAGAAATATCACATGTGAGCAATAATAAAGAATAAGCTGAAATATGGCAAATATGTACATGCTTTAAGTAATTGTAAGTCTATCATGCTTTTTCAAACTGTATTCTTATACTTTAGTGGAATGTTAATACATTGTAAGGTTCACTGGAAAAAAAACCTAAGTGAAAGCAAATGATCTTCTAGAGGTTAGGGAGATCTAGGATTTAAGAGACGGTCTTTATCTCTGCCCCTACAGTTTCTTCCTTGTACACAGAACGACTGAAAAGGAATAAAATTCCCTTGCCTTTTTCATCTTGGCACCAGCAGTTCCAGTTAGTGATGTTACTTGATTGACATGGAAGCTTTCTCTATCAAAAGCTGAACTGAGAAAAACAAGACATTTCTCCTAAGCCACTAAAAAAGCAGCATCAGAATCAGTCCTAACTGAGATGAATTTCAACCGCCTGCCTGGAAGTGAAAGCTTTACGTATCACTGCCGGTCCCTTCCTGCTTAAACCTGGGCAACTCGATGGTTTCTCTGTAGCACCTCAGAGCCACCAATATATCCTGATATTCAATTTTTGACTAAACAAACAAAATAAAAACTTTACTTATATATGGCCACTCTTAAGTACTTAGGCATCCCACACTGCTTTGTCCACAAAGCACCAGAAATCTGGAGTCAATCCCAATCCTCCCTGCAGATGAGTCATCAAATTGAATTTCACCACAGGGCAGCCCTCAGGCAAATAAGATGCAGGCTAAACTGGAGTGGAGGTCTTATTTGCACATACAGCAGCAATGAGTCAGAAGAGGAGCTCCCTTCTTCAAACTATACTGCTGATTTGGGGCCACGCTATTTTAGCACCAGTGCAACAGATGCACCCAAGCACAGGAATGACAGTATCTATGAATGTGCAACCAGATGGGTCAAATACACAACCGTAGGTATGTTTCCATTTCTGTAGCATTTTCTTCTTCTCTGCTTGTATTATTAATATTATTTCAACATTTGTACTTCTGGATCAGAAGTTGTCAGATGGCAAAAGAAATAACATCGTATGACGGAACTCGCACTGACCTGCAATGCTCTACCTACTTACAATATTAATGTACACCACTGAAATCGAAGCAGGTTACATTGGGGCAACAAGCCATTCAGTAAATGTGTCACGATCAGGTTCAACAAAGCTAAAAGTGTTTTTCTTCTAGCAGACGATTAAAGAGCGGGGAGAAGTTCATTCAACGCCTTGAAAATGCCAACAACTGCCTTGAGAAATGCAGAACAAGTGCACTGGGGTTTCAAATTTGGAGATTACATTAGGGTCTCATTTCATTAGGAGTGCCAGCAAGAGCCTGCAGGGACAGGCTGAGAAAATTCAGTCCGAGAGGCATGAGTATGCAGAGATCAAAAACCAAGTACAGCAGCCAGGGAGGCACAGCGATGGGCCTGTCAGTCTGTTTGCTAAAAAGAAACTTGTTTTCTAAATTTCTTAAAAAGGTACGGCTATCCTGGATCATATCATATGCTTCCAATATAAACCCATAAACTGTTGTCTTCCTTTTTTGATTTTTATTTAATCTTCGTTTCTTTTTCTCCTGTAACTTCATTTATTTAATGTAAACCAACTGATTTCTAGGACAGACCACATTCAATACACTGAAACAGTGCCAGGATTATAGTTAATGTCTCAACAATTCTTGCTAGAGTGTACTACATACATAATTTCTAAAGTTTTAAGAAATGAAAAATAATATCCAGTTTAAAATACAAACACCTACCTATTTACCGAGAAAAGGTACAGATAGAAGCAAACAAGGAATGAACTGCGTATTTTTCAGGTGCTATGTGCAGATCTTGCAGCAAATTTTTGAGAAAATGACTGAACATCAAACTTACTTGTGTTGATAAGAAACTGGTTCGAAACCCCAGGGTGATCTACATCATGTATTGCACTTGCAAAAATTGCTGCAAGAATCTCCAAATCAGTGAACACTGCCTAGGAAATCATGAAACAGAAATGACAGTCACTATCAATAAAAAAAGTGTTTTAAATAAAAAGGACTCTATTTTGAATCTAGATCTGAACAAGGAAAACACATTTGAAATGTATCAGGGTTTTCAAGAGATTTACACACAGGCTATCAAACCTTTTGTAAAATTGTCAATTATGTAGAATTTCATAAATATTTCAAGTTTGGCCAAAGTAAAACAATCCTTACTTCATACTGACAGCACAGCTAAATTCTGTAACAACTGAAGTTTTTTCAGCTTCAGTCTGTAAATAAATTCACTTTTATTAGATCATTAAGTACCTATAGCACAAATTGAAGTTAAAAATTTCAGCCTGACTCCTACATACTGTCCTATACTTGAAAGACGCACATCTCCTAAATGATGCTAAAGGAAATGGTGACAGACTACAAGTCATCTTACTTAAGATTTACTGGTTTTTCTTCCGTACGAAATTATTAGGAAGGTAGGAAGAGAGGACTGCAATGGACCTGGCATGTCACCGAGCCCAGTCCCCTGTTGTCACAAGCACCCGTGTTATGTAATTGCTTTCATAATTGATCAAGAACAGCTCAGAGGTTTGTAGGTCAGCAGTGGCACCGGGCAGATGTTGCTACCTACTGGCTAAAACTCTGCTGAGAACAAGGCCATGAAAAACAGTTGATCTGGAAAAAAACCAAAAATGCTACTGACGACCAGTTCAGCTGTTTGGTAAAACCAGTGGTGGTTTAAGAACAGAATCTGATCTTCCTTCTTGAGACAAAGGAAATCTTTCCCAAGAGAATTCCCGAGTATTTTAGGATTGAGACCTGCCAACAGCCTTAAGGTTTACTTTTAACCCTCTTGTTAAGACGAAGGTAAAGCAGAAGCATTCAGTAACATGAAAGATGGGTCATTATGAAAAAAAGAGTCAAAATGCAGCTCTCCTTGAAAAGGAGGGCAAATCCTTTTGAACCACTACAATTTCAACTGCTTGTTTTATCTACCTTTTTCCAAAAATTTACTGGGATATATCAATGTTTGCTACGCTAAGACCTGAATTGTGCTTAAAAAGGTAAAAGTAATCTCCATCTTGCTTCCACTTCCTTCTACTTCAGAGACTGAAGCACTTTCGATAGAAGAATTCTTCAGAAAAGTAAATATGAGAAGTTATTCTTTTTCCAAACAATTCTGAAATATTTATGAAAAAAAAAGAGAGTACAGTGAAAATTTGTCACATGTTGCGCTCTGCCTGAGAGACAAACACAAAACAAAATACAGAAGTAGCTTTTCAGGACCAGAATGAATATGCACAAGTTAAAAAACAAAACACAAATGGCCCTATTGAGGGAATACCATTTTATCACTATCTTTCCTAAGCAATTCCACTAACTGTGGTTAGTGAGAATCCCACATGGGAAATAATGACAGAACAGGATGTAGCATTAATAATGAGATGGTGGAAACAAGTTACGCATTGTGTTAGAATGAAAAAGGTTATGACAGCACAAATCTGTAGGTATAAAACCAAGATTTAAAAGAAAAGGATGTGACATTTTCTGCACAATGTGTACATGTAAATAAACTTTGATCCTCACAAAATATCTTTAAAAGAGCACAATTAATGAAAGAAATTATTTCTTTTAACAATATTGCAGAAACTAAGATCTTTAGTATTTAGTTTATAGAGTCTTAGTATGTCCCTTTCTCTCATGACTGCCTCCTTCCCACCTCAGCATAGTTTACCTCTAATGCTGGGGTTGATAGCAGGACATGGGTTGACTGAACAACATCTGCAGCATGTATGTTATTGTGATATGCCACATCTGCATGGTAATGGTCTTCTAGGGTCATCAAGTAAGTTATTAAAGTGTCTACTGGAATCTTAAATGTTTTTAACAAGTCCCGTTCCTACAAGAGGAAAAGAGAAAAGGTTAAGATCACAAAGCACACAAAAATCTCTAAGATCAGCAAAAAGCAGCACGGCTGCTGCTACTTGCCTGAAAAATGGTGTGCATGATGACTGTCAAAGGTCTGTTTCCAGATAACTCCGCTACTCTGAAAACCTGAAGGCCCCATTTGTTCACATCTTCTAGTTCCTAGAGCAGAACCAAGCAACAGACATGTTGAGACATAACACACGAATTCCAGCAACTTTTGATCGAAAAACCTACAAACAGCAGACTCATGAAGATTCAAACCTTGCCACTGTGAAAATTACATGCTAAACTCTGAAAGGGGGAAAGCTGATGCTACTAATAGTGAAATATTTGAATTTGCAGCTACCAAC